AACACAACGCAACACAACACAACACAACACACACCTGGTGAGAGGGCGCCCTTGATGTCCTGCTTGTTGGCAAGAACAAGGATGGGCGCCTGTGTGTTCAGGGAGGGCAAGCACTCATCCACCAGCATCTCCACGGCCTCATCAAGCCGCTCGCGGTCTGTCGCGTCCACCACAAACACCAACGCATCCGTCGTCGCTATGTACAGGTGGGCCATCTTCCGCGCCTGCGCCAAGGATCACACGCAACAATGCCGGGGCGCAGCATGGTGGCGCAGCATGAGCGATGTGACAAGCCAACCAAACACCAGCAAGCGTGCAATCAGGACAGGAACAACGTTGGCAGCAGAGCTGACATGTGCACGCGCAGCGCAACAGTGCTTGCGCAGGTGTCTATGTACAGTCAACCAACCAATAACACACACACACACACACACACGGAGTTCGCACCGCTGATCGAAGGCCGACATCCCAGAGAGTGAGCTCGACAGTGTCGTTTGGAATGGATTCGACGTTGAAGCCGATTGTGGGGATGGGTGTGATGTTCTCATTCAGCTTCATGCGATACAGCAGCGATGTCTTTCCCGCTGCATCCAGCCCCAGCATGACCACCTTCACCTCTGGCTGTGTATACCCGAGCTTGGCTGCAATGCCACCCATGCTGTCAATGTGTCTGTGTGTGTGTGTGTGTGTCTGTGTGTGTGTGTGTCTGTGTGTGTGTGTCTGTCTGTGTGTGTCTGTGTGTCTGTGTGTGTCTGTCTGTCTGTGTCTGTGTCTGTGTGTGTGTGTGTGTCTGTCTGTCTGTGTCTGTGTGTTGCTGGCAGATGAAGGAGTGGTTTCAGCACTTTGGCTGCGTCCAGATCCACCACCGCACGCAACCGTTTGCGTTTGCGGTGCTGTCGTTGCTGCTGCTGCTGCGAAGGAAGTAATGTAATGCGATGTGATGTTGTGATGTGACAACGCGGCACTTTGCGAACTTGTGTGCGTGCACACAGCCAAATTATTGCTGTGGATGTTCGTTTGGTGGTGCTCCCCTGTGTGTGTGTGTGTGTGTCTCTCTCTCTCTCTCTCTCTCTGTGGCTGCTTGCTCTGCAAAGGCGTGCCTGCCCGAGTGGCTGTCTGTGCAGTCCGTTCGATCTGTTCGATCTGCTTGGGTGGATGCGTCGATCCAACCAGGCAACCAACAAGGAAGCTAGAAAGCAAGCACGGAAGAGAAGAAGTGTGCTTTGCTTGTTGCTTCTTGTTGTTGCTTTGCAGCATGAGCAAGTTGTTTTGAACAGAGCAAAATTTCCTTCTCACACCAAGCAAGGTTGTCTCCAATAGTATAGTGGCTAGTATCTCCGCCTGTCACGCGGAAGACCAGGGTTCGATTCCCTGTTGGAGAGCATCTGTTCTTTTTGCTTTTGCCTCCCGCTTTTTTTGCTTTGGATTGCTTGCTGCTTCTTTGTTGCTTGCTGCTTCTTTGTTGCTTGCTGCTTTGTGTTTTGCTTTGTGTTGTCTTTCGGTTGCCTCGCTGTGCTTACGTGTGTGCGTGTGTGCTGCATCGCTTCCTTCTTCGCTCCCTCACCGGATCAGATGCATCGATGAACAGGGTTGTTTATGTGTCACATCATTCTCTTTCACCAATAATGCGTTTCTCTCCCATGCATGTACGCAGATGCAGTCTTCCACGCGTTAAACTGTCCTACACACGAAACAAACCGTGGTGTGCACACAACAGGGCTCATTGGTGGCAAGGCATGTTGCACGCAATCATGCACACATGCACACACATACATACACACAACGTCGTCATGCACACACAACGTCGTCATGAGCGCTTGAGGCCTTGCTCCATGGCATGTGCCGTGCGCTGGATGTAGTGCACGTTCCTTCGCACACGGTCCGCCAAACTCGCCGTGCTGCTGGACCGCCACGCTTCCGCTTGCACGTCCCTGCATGAACAGGTGCACGGGCACGGGAGGAGGAAAGGTGAGGGAGATGCCATCATTTTCATTGCGAGCAAGCAAGTGGATGAAACAAAGAATGTGTTGTGGTGACCAGATGACGTGCAAACACGCACATGTGCGTCTTCCCCCCCCCCCCTCCACACACACACACACACAAACTGACTTGAGGAACGCTGCCTCTGTGTCGGCGCCATCCTGATCGCGCCTGCGCCGCGCTGCCGCTGCCTTCTCCTCCTCCTCGGCCTCGCGCTTCTCCTCTTCCTCGTGCTTGCGCAGGTTCTCCCGCCGCACCCCTTCGCGCCACTTGGCGTTCGCCACCATCGCCTCCAGCCGCCGCCTGTCAGCCTCTTCATCATCATTGTTCACGCCACGACCGTCACGACCGCCACCACCCCTGTCTCTCCTTCTCTCACCTTCATCCCCCCTCACAATTATCACCATGACGATCACCACCGTGAGTGCTGCTGCTG